AACCTCTCGAAGCCCTCCACTCCCCGAGGCCAACTCTTCGTCTCTAAAGGGGAGAAGAGAGAAAGGCGTGCGATGCATGGAGCTTTGCATAATTGTTCGCTCTCTCCTCTCCAGCCGTCTGAAAGCAAGCGAGAGTGGCCACAGAACCGAGCCCTCGACTAGCACACCCCACGCCCGCCCTGACCAGCTGCGCGCTCTGCCTGAGACGTCCCGGCTGCGCGACCCGGGCCAAGCTGAAATCCGCCCGCCCGCGTCCCCCCCCCCCACTTGCAGCGCCCTCCCGCACCATTACCCGCCACTGGTGGCGACACCGCTTGCTTTTCCCCGCCCCCCCTCCAGGTGGCAGGTTCAGGCCCCAGCTCCGAGCCTGCGCCGCTGCAGCTGCCATCGCCACCGTCGCCGCCAGGGGGAGAGAGTTCCCTCTCCGGAAACGTGGTGCTGCTTACCGGGTGTGAAGGCCCTTTCAAACTTGAGGTTACTGTTCCTTTTCCCTCCCTCATATTTGAAGCTTGGAGAAGAAGATGGAGACCGAGTCTGAGGTGGTGAGTACCTCCATCAGGGATTCAGTGTCCGGGGATGGAAGGTGCGGAAACAGGGAGAAGGAGCAATGTGGGCCCCGTCCTTGAGGGGCTGGATGGGCGAGGTTTAGCTCCCAAACCTTCCTATTTTGTTGGGAAGAAACGTGGCCAGGGTGTCCCAGAGACGACCGCGAAGAGCCCTTTGCTTGTCGAGTTGTATTGTAGGGAAGGAAATGTGTGCCCACAGGGTCTAGACAGGATGTAGCCAGGCTGGGGGCCTCAGAAACAGCCCGGAGTTTTTGAGAGGCGACTGGTGGTTGGGCCATGTGCACTGGGCCAGATAAACTGCTTTCCCGCCGAAACTGGGCTCGGCAGCGTCTTAGACACTCTCTCCCACTGGAGGGATTCCACCCGGGGCGAAGAGCAGCCACAGCAGCAGACACCTCTCTCTGACTGGTCGGTGGGGACGAGGCAGCCTGAGAGACCTGAGGGACGAGAGGGAGACCTGTGACTTGTATCAGCCTAGGAGACCCTAGCTCTCGTGCACCAGAGCCAGCCAGGGCCTGGTGGGGAGGGTCAGGTGGCCCTGTGGACCCCAGGGGCCATGGCAACTTGTCGCCGTGCCCCACCCCACGCCCCGCTTGTGGCCAATCAGCTCCTGCCACGCGAAGGCTGGCGGGCCTACTGCGCATGAGGCTGACGCCTGGGTCGGTACGGTTGAGGGTTCCCGCCACTGCTTCTGGGTGGTTTGCGGAGCAAAATTTCTCGCTGGTTAGCCTTTTTTTCCCTCCCGCACTTTGGTGGGGAGGGGGTGGATCCTCGTGTCAGTGCCCAAGTCCACGATGACCCGAGAGAACCCGAGGAAGGTATCTCTGCGGCCATTTTCCCCAGCGCCTCAACTTGCTGGCCTCAGAGGGGAAGGAGCGCCGAGGCCGTGACTGCGACGGTTAGCCCATCCTCCTCTTGTTGTCTTCATTTGCAAAGTATTTGATAGATTTGGAAGTTAATTCTCAAAGGGGGGAGGCAGTGAGGGAACATTACTTTGGAGATGAATTTTAATAAAGTGTTCAGTGCTGAAGTATTATTACAGCCAAGGACCCTTCTAACCCAATAGTATCATCTATTTAAATGCTTTCATACTCTTGCAGAATTATTGCCAGTGGAATTTAAGACTCTGCTGTTTAACTCAATGCATCTCTGTCCCTCTCTAAGGAACTTAAGTGTTGTTTCTACTTGCAGTGTGTTAAGTGCAATATTTACTAGGCTATTATTCATCATGTATTCTTCAGTTCCAGCCTGGAGAGCAGGTTCTCCTGAAGAAATGATTTATTCATTTATTCATTCACCCAACAAATCTTTATTGAGCACCTGATATGTACCCATCACTACTTTAGATGCTGCCCTCATTAACATTACATTACATTCTAGTGGAAGAGACGACACAATAAATATAAGTAAATGATGTAGTATGTTAGAGAATGATGAGTGATAAGAGGAAAAATAAAGCATTTGGAATCCACAATAAGGCAGGACCCTTAGAAACTGGAGAGTGAGGTAAACTGGGTGTAAAAAGTTGATGTTTGCCTTTTCTCAGTGAGTACCCTTTATCTCGGAAGGAAGATTGGGCAATCTACTTCCTTAGAGATACTGCCTGGGAAACCCAAGGGGGGGTTGCTATGAGTCGAATCAAGTCCACACAGTGAGTTTGGCTTTTTGGTTTTTATCCTTTATCTAATTTCTCAAGATCAGAAATAAAGTACTCTGTTCACTTTCATTTGTTTCATCCTTCTCTCAATGAAAAATAATGAGATTTGACTTTTACTTAAGTTTGAGAATAAATGAGTTCATCTATTGAACTCTAATTTTGCTTTTAAGAAGAGAATTTTGTGATGATATTTTTTAATTTAGCAAATAGGTAATACCTACACTCTGTAAAGAAACAGTTAAAGTTATATATCTATACAAACTGCTATATTATCTCTAGAATAAAAGAACAGTTTGAAAAATAAAACTGACTATCCCATTGATACTTGATGGGCTCATCCATTCTGAGCACTAAATCCTACTGAGTAAAGTAAAGTTATAAATTACCTCCAGATGCCCAGAGAGGACACTGTTAAGATGAGGTTCTCAGTTTCTTTAATTGGAAACTATACCGCAATAATTACTAAATGTGGTGATTTTTCTGTGCCTTAAAGATATATCCATAAACTCTTGAGAATATGTGCCTCCACACACACCTTAAGACTGGATGGTAAAGAACCTGTGAGGTCCAGCCTGTAGCCCCATAGTCGCCACTGACTATTTCTCTGTACATCTTACAGAGATTAAGATAGAGGTGATGGTTTTATTGGTCAATGAAGTGAAAGAAGAGAACTGTGAAAGAGAATAACAGCTCCCCTATCTATTTGTTTTCATTTATTTGTTTCTCAGCGCATTGAAATCATGAACTTCAAGTTTTTTGAAGCAGTCATTTCGTGCGTGTGTTAGACTGGGTTCTCTAGAGATGCAAAACCAGTAAAGCTTATAGAGAGAGAGAGAAAGAGAAATTTATCTTAGGAAAACAGCTCACACACTTATAGAAGCGGCAGGTCCCAAGTTCTTGGATCAAACATCAAGCTGGAGGCTCTTCCCGACTCATGCAGCTGCAGGGGCTAAAGAGCTCAAGGTTGGCAGGCAGTATACTGGCTGTTGACTCCAACGAATGACGAATCCAAGATTTCCAGGCCAAATGGTGGATTGTTTGCTCACGGACACTTGTAGGCAGCACAACAGAATCCTGATCCACAGAAGACTGTCTCTTTTCCCAGAATGTCCATAAATACACTGGAAGCAGGCCACACCCCTACGGAAACTCCCTTTCAATGGATTGGCTGCTCATAACATATACATCTGATCCCATCATTGGAACAACCCACATTACAATTGCTTAAACCACAGAGAATTGTGGTCCAGCCAAGTTGACACACAGCTCCAACTATCACAGTATGTTAGACTGATGCAGAATTCCAAATAATATTCCCAGAAAGAAAATTATTTGCAAGTTGTTGAATTGGTTTCTTTTACAATTCTAGTCTCAAATCTTGTTTGTTTCAGATAGACCTTAAGAATCTACTATCTTGCTATTGTACAACACCTTATATAATATGTATTTGTTATAAAATATATATTTGTTTAAAATTTAAATTAGGTTCTCTGAGTTAGAATTGTGAACATATGAATATGAACTGAGCTCAGTTCTTTAGTGTAAACAGTTATACCTATGAATTATACAAATAACATATCTTTACAAAATCAGTTCAATCTTCAAATGCACACCAAACCAAAAAACCAAACCAAACTCACTGCCGTAGAGTCAGTTCCAACTCATAGTGACCCCTCCGTGGGTTTCTGAGGCAGTATCACTATGAAAGTAGATTGCTCAACCTTCCTTCTGAGGAGTGGCTGGTGGGTTTAAACCACCAGCTTTCCGATTAGTAGTCAAATGCCTTCAGTACTAGGCTACCAGGGCTCCTTCAAATGCACAAGGACATTTAAAAATTTGACATTACAGCTGAAAAACAGTGAACTTGAACTTGTCAGAATTTCTCTATTAATTTGCTAATGCCCTTTAGCCAAAACCCACTAGGAATGCACCTATAGTTGAATAAAATTGGGTTTATTGACTCATTGCAACAAGGTAGGATATACACCATGGGGAGCCATGGGGCCCCTCAGTAAGAGGCAGTTAAAAAGAAGTTATTAGGAATTATTAAAGATCAAGAATTTAGACATGTGTTAAGTGATTTTTGTTGAGGGTTTAAGAAAGAAGGACTTTGCTATGTTATCAGGAAGTGGGAATAATTCTATGATTGGATATGTTAATAATTCTTATCTAGAAAGTAAGAAAAATGGATTGGGGCTAAAGCTATGATTGGTTAAAAAGAGAAAAAGGAAGAAAGAAGTAGCAGTCGTTCAAATCAGTCAGGACAGAGGGATATTTGATTATTTTTGTAGTATGGGCTATACTCTTGTTTTTATCATTGTTCAGACTTGATTATGGCATGGTTTTCTTTTTATTTGATCCACACAATCAAAGTATGACCTTGTTGAATGTTGGTATTGTCTTAATAAAAGAACACATAGCCTAGCTGTTAGCCTAGAAGTGCCAGGCTAACTCTGAATAACAAGGCCCAGTTGGTTGTGCCTGGCCAGCTTCCATCTGTCCAAGGGCTGCTTTTCTCTTTCTCAAAATCTTTTTGAGTTTTATATTTCACCATAAGATTTTTTCTGTAATTGAGTAGATTGTTGTAGAGAAATATTTCCTATATTTTGTGTTGCCCCTAAAAGCAATTAGCGCTAATTATAATCTTCATAATATTCAGATAAAAGTAAAGTCTAAAATACTAAGTTTTGTCTGACTTGTCCTTTTGAAAGATATATGTCTTAGCCTGCATCAAAACTTACACCAGTGCTAAAAGACTAAATAATTTTATTTTACAGCAAACATCAAATCAGACGCTAACAGATTCATTATCTCCATCCCCTAATCCTGTGTCACCTGTGCCTTTGAATAACCCAACAAGTGCCCCAAGATATGGAACAGTGATCCCTAATCGCATCTTTGTAGGAGGAATTGACTTTAAGGTACCTGTTCATGCATGTAACATCGTATATATTTTGCATTAGAAGTTGTTTTATTTCTCAGAAATTTTTTTCTTTGTGCAGCTGTAAAAATAATATATTTGCATAATGATGAGTAGGTTTCAAATTATTAGTATAAGTAATCTCTTCAATAGCTATGAAACTAACTAAAAGAAAGCATATGTAATTGTCCAGGTTCACATACCAGGAAACTGAGCTTCATTGACTTGACATAGGCTTCTAACTAATTAGTGGCAGAGTGAAGAGTAGACTGTTTCTTGACTCACAGCTCCATATTTGTCATTTCACCATACCACACTAATATATTTTCTTAAATAATACTCCAGTAGCCCAAATAATGTGTGATCATCATTTTTAAAAGAAGATACAAAGAAAAAACATTCATCATATCAAATACTTTTTTTACTCCATGTTCAAGAATTTCTTGAGTAAATTGCTCTCTATGGTTTAATTCAGAACTGGATCACAAAAAAGTCCTGTGTCCTTGTCAGAATAAAGCATCACAACAGTAATATATTTAATAGTCATCCATTTCACTCTTTTCAAAGAAATACAGTTTGTGAGATATTTTATATATGTTGTTGTTATGTGCTGTCGAGTAGGACCCGACTCATAGCAACCCCTCCTTGGGTTTCCGAGGCAGTATCACTACGGAAGTAGATTGCCCCATCTTCCTTCCAAGGAGCGGCTGGTAGGTCTGAACTGCCAGCCTTCTGGTTAGCAGTCAAGTGCTTTAGGCACTATACTACCAGAGCTCCTATTTTATATATATATGTGTGTATATATACAATAGTGGTGACCATGTATAAGAAAGGCATGGTTGAATGTTGTAAGTGGTATCCTCTTACTTGCAAATGTATATACAGTAAGATTTCAATACTTCCATATTATGCATTGGAAATTAAAGGGAGAGTTGTATTTTTTTAATTTAAAAAATCCTTGTGCCATTACAGTATGATTTTTATAAATCACTGTTTCTGCATAGGAGTTTCTAGGTGTTGTTAACTGGTTATCACACTCAGATGCTAACCATAAAGATAAGCTTTTTATCCACCCAGTGGTGCCACAGAAGGAAGGCCTAGTGATCTGCTTCCATAAAATCAGCCATTGAAAAGCCCTATGGAGTAGAGTTCTAATCTGATACATATGGAGTCGCCATGAGTTGGAACAGACTAGACAGCAACTGGCTATTTCCATATAATCAATCTGTCACAATTTAAATGGAATTACTTTTTTCCTGTTCAAGATAATGTTATGCTTTTAATATATTAGCCAAAATAATGACTTATAAGAAAGTATGTGATTATTTCAGTAAAAATAAAGAAAAATGATTTCTCGTGAAATGCTTATTTTAAAAAAGATTTTCTGCTTCTGTGGAAAATACTAATGGCTGTCCAAAAATACTCACTTTGGGTACCCTTGTTTGAAATTAATTTATATTATAATAGGTTAGTATGTTTTAAAAAACACATAATCAATAAATATAAAATTTGTACTGTTGATTACTGAAGCCCATCATCCACAATATGAATTTTGGAGTTCATTATTACAGTGTAGTCATAGCTTTGAGGTAACTTCTAGGGCTCTCTCCTTTGCACCCTTTTGAGGCGAGGAAATAGTTTACTATCGTTCCAAGCAGTCTCAAATTTTTTAAAACTCTTGTATTTAAACACCTACAGCCTGTTCCTCTTAATATTTAATCATCCTTTAATTATCACAACATCTTCCCATGTCCTTACTCCTAAATGAAGAAATTAGCTATAAAATTGAGCTAGCAATTCTTAACCACAGAATAGTTTAATTTGTTTTCAAATCTCTAACACTAGTCCTTATTCTAGCATTGATACCATTATGTGTTTATTATAAAGAACAATCATTTAATCTTAGATTAACTCATGGTTTGCCATCATCCAATTTAGCAGGCTTTAAGGCTGGCGGTTCAAACCCACCAGCCACTCCTCGGAAGGAAGGTTGGGCATTCCTACTTCCGTAGTGATACTGCCTCGGAAACCCAAGGAGAGGTTGCTATGAGTCGGGTCTGACTCGACGGCACGTAACAACAACAAGAAGTAAGGTAGCAGTGGAATGCAAGAGGCATAGCTCTGCTAGAGCCATGGCTCTTTTACTATATACATAAAGAAAAAAATTTTCTAGGGACAAATTACTCTTGGGGCCAAACAGTTACAGCTGAAACAGAAAAGGGAAAGGCTGATATGAGTCTATAAATAGAGACTATTTCAGTTAAAACCAAATATGCCAAGACCATCTTTGTAGACATCTTGTACACTGTGAGCCTAACTATGATTCACATTTTAATTTTTAGTATATCATAGTGTCTGTATTTAGCTGAAATGGATTTTGAGTACAGATAAATGATCTGATAACTAAATCTTACAGACACTTCTCATTATTACAAGTTGAGTTCAACTACTTTGAATATACACCTTTCCTAACACCCAGCTCTTCCTGGGGACTATGCTGATTAAAATAGAGCAAGTAGTGTAGGCCAACATAACCTAGATCTTCTGCTACAACTATGAGCCTTTCTAAACCACAAGAGTCAGTAGTAGTATGTACTTAGTGTATATTTATAGCCATGCCCAATCAAATTGTTTTGAAAAACTGGCCAACTAGAGAACAAGAACCACTGAAAGAGTCCTTTAAATCGTGAGTTTTAAAATAATTCAGCATAAGATTTTTGATTGACATAGTAACCATTTAACAACATAATTACTGGATAAAGCAAGATGTTTCTTTTAATAACCTAATAGTTTCATAGTTTTTATAATGAGAGGCGTTTTTATGTCCATATTATTATCTGTAACTTTTTTTGTCTTCAAAGCAAGCATGAGTTGCTTAATTTTTTTCAATTATATTTTTTTATATCTTCTTTTTATTCCATTAGACAAATGAAAATGATTTAAGAAAATTTTTTTCCCAGTATGGGTCTGTAAAAGAAGTGAAGATTGTAAATGACAGAGCTGGAGTGTCCAAAGGGTTAGTATCACTAAAGATAGTACATAGAATTAACAACCGTATTTTGTTGGTTTTCTAACTTTGGTTTACTACCTTATTTTTGGTTCTTTGTTTTTGTGATTTTTAACAATTTCATCCCATGTTCTTCCCCCCACTTCTATTTCTTACATAAGCTAATATGCATGCCTGTGTGCCTACGTGTATTTTGAAGGGAGGGAGGCGCCATAATATTCCTTAATTTATTAGAAAATTAATCTTACGTGGGCTGAGGGACCATGTTAGGTAGCAAGCACTTAATATCGAGTGAAGATGGAGCAATCTGCTTCCATAGTGATACTGCCTCGGAAACCCAAGGAGGGGTCGCTATGAGTCGCGTCCTACTGGACGGCACATAACAATAACAACAACAACAATGTCCAGTAGTTAAGGAACCAGAAGCTAAAGGAATCAGATCCATTTGGAATTGTATCTCTGCTTTAGAACTTCATTTTAAGACAACTAACCCCAAGGATTAGCTCTTTGCTGTGTCTCAGAGACCTAATAGGGGACTAATATGAGAGATGTAACTAATGGAACTGATGTTTATTGCTGCATTAAGAATAAAATTTGAGAAACCAGCAACAGAATTTGTATAGCAATATCAATGACTTTAGTGCTGTTTTAGTGGATTGGTATGTACAAAAGCCAAATTTCAGAGAGGGAAAAAGGTGAAAGGTGAGACAAGCATATTTATAGACATAAGAGAAGGTACCAATGAAGTAGATAGAAAAAGATAAGTGAGAAATGTAAGTATTAACAGGTAGGCACTCTGAAAGATATGAGATCTTACAGAGAGGTTATCTTTATACAGATGAAATGTTTCTCCAGACTGCCAAGCAATATTAAGGTGATGTAAGATTAAGATCACTTTTGTTTGGCTAATAGGATTTGTATTATATTGATAATATCCATATTTTATCATTTAAAAATACATGAAAATGTAAATTGCATTTTATGCATTTTCCACTGGGTGGTATATGTGTTCCACCAAAAAAAAATTAATGTAAAAATAACATCTTTTGCTCTTCTTTAATGTTTGGGTTTATAGAAAAAGATAAATTCCTTTATCAGAAAAAGGAATTTTATTTATAATGTAAATTAAATTAAATTTACATTTATTTACATTTTATAAATTAAACTAAATGTAAATAATGTAAACTAAATTAAAGAAAATAGTAGTTAAGAAATTTAGCACTGTTCAAAAAAGTTTCTTTAAATTTCCATACTTACAGAAATTATGCTTTGGAGGAATATACTTTTCTTTAACTACTTTTGGCTGAATATTATGCCATATATCATGTATTTCCAGCTTTAAATATGAACTTACATAAATTGCACACTGAAAGAACAATCAGATGAAAAGGCAGGATTGTACATATTTTTTAATTGATATTATATAAGGAGAAATATACTAATATATAATTATATTATTGATATATATCACAATAATAAATAGTAAGTTTATATACTCACCAATAAAAGAAATTTTATTGTGTTTAAAATTTTACTTTAATTTTTTTAAGGTTCCCCCCACCAGTTTGATTCCTATTTAAGCCAAATGCCTGTTAATTTAAAAGATTGTTGCTCTGCACTAAAATTCATTGCATCCCAATTTATAACCCAAACCATGAATCATACTTTCTTGTCTTAGATACAGCTCAGGGCTAAAACTGTTACAAGATCCCTAGTTTCTTTTTTTTCTTTTAGTTCCCTGTCTCTAACCTTCCATCCTGGTCTACCATAGAAAGATACTCCCTCCTATAGAGTTCTATTCTTAAAATCAAACTTTTAAAAAATCTTAAAACATTAATGTAATAGTTTAAGTAACTAATTCATGCATTTATTTAGGTATGGTTTCATCACTTTTGAAACACAAGAAGATGCACAAAAAATTTTACAAGAGGTGAGGTCTTTTGATATATTTAACTTTACTTTTAGAACTTCTTTCTTTGAAACTAATCCCTTAAGTGTTAATAGCAGAGTTCCAGTATAATGAGCAATTACTAAAAAAAAAAATTAATTTTTTTATATTTTGAGATTGGCATTGGTCTCCAAAAATATTAAATAAAAAAAATTAAAGAAAGTATCTGCAGAAGAACATACTCCAAATCATTACATGAGGATAGCATTGAAGTTTTAATATAATTTTTCACTTTATTTGTTTAAACTGAGAACTTGAGGTTGTGTTTTTTTGTGAAGTGTTAGTAGCATTTTAAATTCCTTAAAAACATTATCAACATGGATTCCTAGAGGTTACCTGAAATTATTTCCTTTCTATTGAATATCATGTCTAAACTAAGAGAAAAAGTCCTGTAGTCTTCAGTTCAGTGTGATAACTTTGTTATGGGAAATGTAGCATTTAATTTTTAGGAGAGAAAATAGAAATTGAATTGTATATTATTAAATCATAAATTTCAGATGAAAAATTAGGGTCAGAGCATGAAGCCAAATTTAAGGCCCATATCTTCGTGAATCCCAAGATTTTTTTTCCCTTTCCACTATGATTTCCTGCCTTCAAAGAATATTACAAATGAATTTCTAAAATTCTTTCTCACTAAATTTCCCATATGGGTTTTGCAAATCATAGTGCCAAAATAATAAATAACTTATTTCTTCTTTATTTTAGGCAGAAAAACTTAATTATAAGGATAAGAAACTGAACATTGGTCCAGCAATAAGAAAACAACAAGTAGGGATCCCTCGTATGTATCAAGATCTAATATTTTTTCAATATTTTTGCATGGTTCTCTTTTTGAAAAATTAAACATTTAATATTATTTTCTTAAAATATCAAGTTTCTCTCATTTAACTTTATTTTAGGAAAGTTGGCCAGATGAATATTCTTACCACAAATCAATATATATATAGTAGATTTTTTGGAGGGCTAGAGGAAAATTTACACAAATAATGATACTTAAGTGTATTCCACATAGACCAGGAAACTGTCGTTCAAACAGAACAAGGGGAAACTGCATGGTTTAAAATCAGGAAGGAAGTGCATCAGGATTATATCCTTGCTGAGCAGATAGTCCTAGAAGCTGTACTATATGAAGAAGAATGTGGCATCAGGATTGGAGGAAGGCTCATTAACAACCTGAGATATGCAGACGACAGACACAACTTTGCTTGCTGAAAGTGATGATGACTTGAAGCATTTACTGATGAAGATTGAAGACTATAATCTGCAGTATGGATTACACCTCAGTATAAAGAAAACAGAAGACAAAAGTCTTCACAACTGGGCCAATAAGCAGCATCACAATAAATGGAGAAAAGATTAAAGTTGTCAAAGACTTCATATTACTTGGTTTCTCATTGGACACCAATGGAAGCAGCAGTCAAGACATCAGACAATGTATTGCATTGGGCAAATCTGCTGCAAGAGACTTCTTTCAAGTGCTGAAGAGCAAAATGTCTCCTTGAAGACTAAGGTGTGCCTAACCCAAGCCAAGGTATTTTCAGTTGACTCATACGCATGTGAGAGCTGGACAATAAATAAGGAAGACTGAAGAGGAGTCCATGCTTTTGAGTTGTGGTTTTGGTGAAGAATGCTGAAAATACCATGGACTGCTAAAAGAACTGACAAATCTGTCCTGGAAGAAGTGCAGCCAGAATGCTCCTTAGAAGCGAGAATGGCCAGACTTTGTCTTACCTACTTTGGTCATGCTGTCAGAAGGGACCATCCCCTGGAGAAAGATATCATGCTTGGTAGAGTGGAGGGTCAACAAAAAAGGAGAAGGCCCTCAACAAGATGGATTGATGCAGTTGCTACAACGATGGGCTCAGGTATAACAAGGATCATGAGGCTGGCACAGGACCGGACACTGTTTAGTTCTGTTGTATATGGGGTCGCTGTGAGTAGAAGATGATGCAGTGGCACCTAACAACACAACAACAAAGTGTATTCCATATATTTACTTTTTAAAGGAAAAATCTTTTAAGATAAAAATATTACTTAAGATGGCAAAAAATAATGCACACAAAATTAATCACAAAGTAAATACTGAAAATGAAAATAAAGAACTAACATTAGAAACTCTCCACACAGATTGCCTAAGTTATGTGCCTTCCTCAAATTTCTGTAATTTAAACTCTCCTTTATTTCTCACTTTTTCCATTTGTTAAATTAGTAATCTTTATAGTTACCTTTGCCTGTAATATTTTTTCAAATCTCTGCCATAGTCTTCGACTAGAAGGAGAAACTTCACTTAAGATTAGGAGCTAAAATTCCTTATTTTTCATTAATGTCCTAATGTCTTCTGGAATGTTTAAAACATTAAGTAGTTGCTATACATCTGTTAACAATTTAATATGTATGCTTATTTGGGTTGTACTATATTTGACTTAGAAGTTAACAGACAGCAAATTTAATTTTTATTTAATATCTGTTAAATTGGGAGATGATTGAAGTGTTATATGAAGGTTAATACTTCAAAATGGAATGCACTAAATATGGCAAAATGCTGATGGCATAGTGGTTAAGGAATTTGGCTGCTAACCAGAAGATCAGCAGTCCAAACCCACCAGTTGCTCCATAGGAGGAAAATGAGGCACTCTACTTCATAATGATTTACAACCTTGGAAACCCAGTGGGGTTCACTATGAGTCAAAATTGACTTGATGGCAGTAGGTTTGGTTGTTAGTTGAAGGAGTCCCAGGTCATACAAATGGTTAGCATGTTCAGCTGCTAACTGAAAGATTGAACGTTCAAGTTCACCTCTAAGCTCCTCAGAAGAAAGGCCTGGTAATCTACTTCCTAAAAATTAGCTACTGAAAATCTTATGGAACACAATTCTGTTCTGACATACACCTAACAGTTATTTAAGAACTATTTGGTACAAGGATAAATGCTATAACTTTCATTTATTTTGTTTAATCTTCTTAAAAAACCATTAAGTATTTTTAGTTCTATTTTTATGAACATAAAATTCAGTCTTAGAAAGGTAAAGCCACTGTTTTAAAAACATTTCTACTAAAATACT